CGGATCCTTCGATCCGAGACTTCGCTGCATCGATCGGATTTCGGGGAACCACTTCGCTTTTATTGCGATCGAACGGAGCGGGACTGTTGAATTATTTTGAAATTCCGTAATTAATTTCGCGCTACTACAAGTCTGAGAAATAAAGAAACATATGTACATATTGTTTCAGTGTTTCGAAATTATGGAAATAAAATCGTACTTTAACCCCTTTCACTCAAGTGACGACTCTAAGACATCGTTAAAAATTGTCCCATCGCGTTTCAAAATAATTTCAACATTATTAAATTTGTTTACATTTAAAAAACAGTTATAAGTGTAACTGTCGCATGTGTCACAAAATTCAACTCCATATATACATATAAAATGCACTAGTTTATATATAAAATTGAAATTGGAGAAAAAGGAAAAAAAATGGAGAAAAGATCAGAAAAACTATTTTCGATTTCGAACAAAATAGTTCCATTTTATAGCGCCATTTTAATAGCAACATTGCAAAATGTCTTCGACTGCGTAGGGTTGACAAGATCAAATTCTGACGACAAAATTGCTAGCAATCGTGGCAACCGATTGGTCGAAAATCAAACTGCGATCGACGTCGTGGCGACGAGATTTTGAAGAACGCTGACCCGTAAATCTATTACCACCCCGATAAGTAGAAATTTGCGCACTCGCGGCCGATAGTGTTCGTTTCGCATCGCATCGATTGCATAACGTTTTCGAACTCGATAACCGGGACGCGATTGTTGTTTATTTAGGAAAATGAAGGCTGAACAGTAATTGGCCGATCAACAGTCTCTCACAGGAGACTGGATTCGCGAGAAAAAAATCGCACAACCTGGGGACTCGTTTCAAGAATCGACGCCTCTTCTTTCGCGATCGTTCGTCTTTCTTTCCGGTATTCTGACAGATTAAACGTCCACGATTCATTGAAAATCAGGCAACACGGTGTGCTCGTAAACATGCCAGTTCTGCAGCTGCGATGCTGCGTTGTATCGCAGTTCCGAGACTTTTATTTAACTCGATGGCTTGTGTAATTGTAAATAAAGATAAAACTTCGTTGCATCGTCGATAATCCTAACGACGATGAACGACGAAGAAAACCGCGGTGCCAAACATGTTATTACTAAGTAGTTATGCATCAAAAGTTTCTAAATCAATCACACGATGCTGGAGATCGATAAAAAGTTCGTCGTTTTCTTTTTTCATAATTCTTGGATTTTTCGCCGTTTTCCTCAGGAACGCGCAAAAACCGCCGTTCGGTGATACCAAAAATAATTCCTCGTATTGCATATCGTTCTCCGTTGATTTCTCGATCGGAGCGGCCCGATGCGATATTTTTCAATCGGAGAGGAAGATCATACGACGCCGCGGTTGTTTCAAACGCGATCTATCGATCGGTTCTTATGCATCATCGACGGAAACATTTTCGTACACTTCCGGAAAACTGCGCTAATCGACAATAGTGCGCAAAACTGGCCGATACGACGGCATTGACCCCGTCGAACTATGATTACCGTTATCGTCCACTTCGAAAATTAACCGAGTTCCCATCAATAATTAATCGAATTACGTGATACAACTAGAACGAACGGTTCCACACGTAGCGGCGCGCTGTTCGTTGTACTTGGGAGAGATTAGGCTCCTGCCGTTGTCTAACACCACTGGCCGCGACGACTTAAGGTCAAGATCCAATGCTACGAACCATTTCACGACCGATGGAAGCATTGTCCGGAGGAATTCCGTGAAATTCTGCGACTTTCACCGATGAGGCCGATTTATCGCGCCGAAAATAAACGAGACAGAAATCCGTCGTTTTCGGAAATCGTTGATCCCCATTCTCTTTCGTCGGAAAATTTCCTTTCTCCCGAGCCAAGAATTGCACAGCGTCGATGCGAGCAAATTAATTGTTGGTTAGGCCCTATCAAACGCGCGTGCCTATATCTAGCATTACGTCATGGTTATTTATTTAAGGCGAAACTTTGAACTAAAGAAAAAAAAACAGAAAAAAAACAGACACTTTGAGAAAAATGAGATAAGTATACCTCGGCGTTCGTATTCAGCCAGAGAAACTTTACGACACGGTGTTCGTTAGCTGGTCGTGCTCGATCAAAAAAAGTGGCACGCGAATGACAGACCAAACAAAAATGTGAAACGAATTCCATCGGGAAACGATAAAAAGAATCGCTTCTTTTCGGAATGATGCAAACAGCCAAAAATGATTGTGTTGTCTTGGATATTGCATATCTCCGTGAGAGTACGGGTCAGTTGGTCAGCGTTAATTCGCAAAATTTGCTAGTACAGCGTCGACTTTCGAAATATGTACCACGGGAAAATTCGAAAGCCGTCGTTCCTGTCGGATTAGAAACTCGATTCGGATCGTTTTGACACTGGCTCGATGGCCCTAGAGCGTTAATCAACGAAGGTGACAGATGATGGAACAGGTTCACAGCCGAAGGAAACTGGTTCATCGGTCGTTTCGTACTAAAAACCCGGGGTCGTTGACACCGTGAAATGAAATTTCTAGTTCGTGGGAGTTCCCGAAACGTTCTTTTGGCCCGAGTTCGTCATACGTTGCTCCTCTCACCTACTGGCAGACTCGCGGTCGGCTCCTTTCCACCGAAATGTCAGGGAGATTCGTTCATCCTTTGCGGGCCAGGCGGCCCATTCAGGAAAAAGCGAACACGAATCGTTGCCTAATTTCGTCGTCTATAAATAGCGGCCCCGAGGTGAACGACCTGTTGCCTAGCTCGCGAAATCGTTTCACGCATTAGAATCGAAATCGGCGTCGACGGAACGTTTTACGCGTGAGGTAACGAAGAAAGTGTTGTTCGAAGCGGTATCAAAAAAATTTTCGAGCGACGTGGACCGAACGAAGCCGTCGATGTGTTCGGCCACCACCGTTTCTTTATCTTCCCGGCTGAACCGATCGAAAATTCATTAAGAAATACAGTAAATAGTCCTTTGATTGACGCTCAGATTGTGCGCAAAAATGGACAATTTAGGAAATAACCTTGCGGCTCGTTTTTATAGTTGTCGACGTCCATTTCTGTGGACAATCTGAGCGCGAATTAGGGAGAATTTATTGTATTACAAAAATTTAGCAGAACAGAATTGTGAACTACTTGAATATTATGCTACGATTTCAAACAACAACGCGCGATAAAATTTATTTGCACATTTTTATAAAAACTGCTATGATCGCGTTCGCGTGAAAAATGTTCATTTCGCGCGAAGTCCCGCGGTCTGATCATTGCGTTTCGATGATTTCCCTTGTCGTTTGAAGGAGATTATGAAAACTGATGTCTGATTAAACCATTCGCGTCGCATCGCGATCGAATAGTCGCTCAGAGTCAGTTTTTAGTTCATGTAAAAACGAAATGACTCAACTGGATCAAACATCGACAGTATTAATCATTCTTTCATGTTTGCAGTATGTATTGAAAGTATTCATCATCTTGTAAATATCGACAATTCAGCGATCCCTTGAACAATTTGCGTCGCACATCGTCGCACTACTTGTGCAAAATCGAGCCATTTAAATGACTCGATACCTGCTTTCGATAGGGTAGTTAGTTGCTCTCGCCTCGTTCTTCGTTTCGATTGCTTCGAAGAGCCAGGTATAACATTGCACGCCTAATGTTTCGTTGCCAGCACAAGGGTTGATTGTCCAAGAATATGCCGACAGAATCTCGAAGCCGAGGGAAAGAGAGAGTTTTAGAAATTTGGAAACGTGGGTTTTGGCTCGCGGCGGGTCCGGTGAAACGGTACTTTTACGAGCGCTACCGTGGCTCCCTTTCGAGAGACAATTGATCCTCTCCCATGACGGACTGGCGTAGGGACCCCGTTAGATAATGACGCGCGAATAGGTAGACAGACCGACAGATTGCTCAAACGGTATTTTTACGGCGGTCCGGGGCCGGTGCCGACGCGATCTCCATTGCTCTTCATCGCTTTCTATTCGGGAGGACCGGCATGGCAGCGTCAGAGAAAGAGAGAGGTCACTGACCCGCGAAACCAATTGAGCAATCCACGAAACCGAGGCCCACTGCATCAGTCATCGGCGCCGTGTGCTCATGCCGGGCATGATGCCGGTCGAATACGCGTCCCACAAACCGGCAATCATCGCCGCCGGCGCCGACAGCTGCCCGGAGGATGCACTCTCCGACGTCTTTTCAAACCTCCCGCGCGCGTCCGTCCAAGTCCCCCGACACCTTTCCCGAGCCCCTTGGAACCATAAAAACCCTTTGATTCGTATACCGACAGCTTTCTTTCCGAAACCTTCGTCCGTTTCAGCCTACTTAACTAGATTCAGCCTAGATCCTTAGAGGAGCGTCAACTTATTTGTTTCATGGACTCTTTTGTTGAACTAGTTATGCCGTTTGAGAATGCGTGGGTCGCGCAAATCGTAGAAATGTTCACGTTGAGAAATCTAAAAAAAGAAACTAATCGAACGCAAGCCTGTCTTTCAGAGACTGCTCTTCTAAAAGCTGAAACTGGATCAGCAGAAATTGAAATAAGAGATCGAGAAACAAACAGGAATCGTCCACGGCGCCTGCAAGGTTTTATGAAAGTTGGAATTTTTCAAATGTCTCCGCATTTTCCTCGAGTTACGAGAGTGCTGCCAGGGTGCAGCAACTTTTAGGGATGCTCACAAACGGCAAGCACCGCGTGGTCTGTCCGATAGATAAATCTGGTTGCGAAAACTGAACACTGTTCTATTGAAAATACGAGTCGATTCCACAGTGTGCGAAGAATGTTTTCGATTTTTCGTGTAATAAACCAATGAAACAACAAGCTAGAAATGCATTAAATGCCGCAAAACACTAATTTCCCCGCATTTTTCTGGACGAACAATTTTCAAAGACGCTAATCGATCGGAAAATCTCGATCTTTTCCGCGGCCGTCACTAATTGTCAGAAGGGAATTTCGGCGATTTAGCGAAATGACGATGATAAAAATATCGATCAAAGTGGCAGATCGAAGGGACACGTTCCACTTACTTTGCAGAGCCCACGGTGTGTATCTGGCCACCTCCCTCAGGTAAAGAGCGCTGCTCCTCAAACAGGTCTCGGACGCGCCGTCGGAGGGTGCGAATGGTTTGGCGAGCAGCTCGAGCAGCACGGTTTCCGGTTTGACACGGGCTTGGACAGGGGCGGCAAACGAATGAACGGCGACGAAGAGAAGCACGATTTTGAGAACAGGGGACCGCCGTTTGCCGGTGGGACCGAAGGAAGGGGAGGAAGCGGTGGTAGCGATGGGGCAGCCCATGATGCTCGCGTGTAATTAATTGTTCGAGGGGGTCCGAGAGCGCACGTGTCGGGGCCCGGACGCGGGTCACCTTTGTCCGCTGGTCGGCTAGGTGTGCACTTGCGTGAAACTTGAGGCCGGCAAAGTAGCAGACGTCAAAACGTGAACTGTACGTTCTGTCAATCGCTGGGGCATTTATATATGTGTTACTGGTGTGGCGCGCCGGCACGATGATGGGGGTAAGAGCATTCGACTCTCCGATGGGCACCTCTTATCGATGCGACCGAGGATTACGCGCGCGGCGCGTAATGTGTCTCTCCTCTCCCAACCCGGCCCGGCACGGCCCGGACCGATCCATGGCACGGCACTCGAAAGAGAGGAGAGGAGAGGAGAGAGTGGGAGAGACCGAGAAAACGTGTGTGCGCTCGTTCGTCGGTAGGAATTCGACACGATCGGAAAGATCGAACGGGGATCTCTCGGCCGCGCGACCAACGTCCTCAGGCTCGAACAGCCTTTCGAACCTTTTCGTCTTCGGCCTTTCCCGGCGAGGTCCGCGCCGCAAACGATCCGCTAGGGTACGTTACACAGGCACGAGCTGGCGTCGTAGAAGCGCGCGCTGCACTCCAGGACTTGGGTAGTTCGGAATAGGAGTCGAAAGAATCGCGAAACATTCTATTTAACCCTTCGACCGGCGATTCCTAAGGACGCGTGTATGCGTCTAACAGAGGTTATCGGTACGGGCTATGGTTCCGGCAAACTAAAATGTATTTCAACACGCAGCCATGCCACGGTCAAGGGTTAAAACTTGGAACCTACAAACATTGTTATCGTTTGTAAACGCCAGCTCATTACCAAATTGAACCGCCGAATATTCCGAACATCCTGACTGGGTTAGTCGTTAGTCATTGTCGAACTCTTTGTACCTTCGTCAGTTTATTAGTCACTCTAGGATATTTGCCTTTACATCCTAGCAGCTGCCCTCTTCAGCCACTTAAACATCATTCCCGAAAAACCCATTGTATATTAATACGCGAAATACGGTAAATTCTCCCCAACTTTCCTTCAGCTTGTAAAGGAAAATGGACAATTTGGGAAAAGGAAATATGACTATACGAGCCTCGCGGCTCATTTCTATAGTTGCCGATTGTCATCAATTATAACAAATTTTGTACATTTTCCTTTACAAGCTGAAGGAAAATTGGAGAGAATTCGCTATAGTCGAACAGATCGTTCTGAATTCGTTCTGAAACATATTGAAACTACATCCGAGCAAAAATCTCCGAGTTCGATGGTAAATCATGTTGTACCCGTTCATTCGCCGGAATCAAACGATCCCAGATGGCTCGCTTCGAAAATTGAAACTCGTCGAAGAGAATGTTTGTTTTATGAGATCACTTTTCGAAGAAGTTCCCGAGGGTAGCGCTTTCTTCCATAGAAACTTTTGCCCTAGAAACTCCCGCGTTACCGTACAACATAACAAGCAGCTTGCAAGAGGTGGTGCACTTAGGTATATCAGCTCGCGCACGCCCTTGCAGTAAGTTTCATATGAGAGATACTGGCAACGAGATTCTCGGATTTGAGCAATCGGAAAGTGCATGGGAGTCGAGAACATTCTTTCTATCGACAAAGTTGTTGTAGGGTGAACTTTCTCCCATACGAAACGCTTCTCTCGATTTTGCATCCCTGCAAACGGGAGTATCGTCCCAAGTAAACTTTCAAATCGCTATTTGCCCCATTTATCTTTATCGAATCTGTAAACGAGATAATAATCGTTTACGTTAACCCATGTAAACAGCAATTATGTTCTAAACGACTACGTGTCCGTCACTCCCAGCAATACCTCGTTGCCATTTATCAGGTAGTTCGTGTACGATGAGTCATTAGGGCAATGAGGGCAGTATAATTTCCATTAGGACCACGATGGCCTCGATATAATCTATTTAAGCGCGGTTCGTGAATTCTTCGAACTTTCTACGCTGTGTTAGCTTCAGGACATTGTCCTCGGGAGAGCATAGTCCGGGAATTCACCGCCATTCTCTCGGTTTTCGCGCGTCAATCCGAGTTTCCGCTCCTACGCAAATCTATGCAAATCTACGAGGACGCACACATGCACTTCTGCGCATGCGACGCATTTGCAACGAGCGTTTACACCTTTTCGTAGCAAACGCTCGATGCGCTCGCATGTACGCCCGCGTGATTTCGGTCGACGAACCTGTGCGCGCATTTTCCGCGGTGTTTTTCCTCAAATTAAACACCTACGCGAAGCGTTTACGTAATAGGTTCGCCGGTTCGTTGGCTGCACAACTTCGACTAACGAGGAAGCAGATAGCAGTTTTCTCGATCCCTTATCCTGCGATTCTCCTCGCTTCTTCGCCTGCTTAATGCTCCTCGAGGTATTTCACGAAATTCTTTTCGAAGTACGAGTATTACATTAGGAACCAACGGAGTCTTTTGAGACAGAGAGAGAGAGAGAGAGAGAGAGAGAGAGAGAGAGAGAGAGAGAGAGAGAGAGAGTCCTATCTCGAGAAAACTTTCCCTAATCTCGACGAAATTTTCCTTTCGCATCGAACCTTCCTTACAATTTTCTACTTTGTTTACCTTTGGTGACCCCGTTTCCAAAAGTCTGCCATCTCTGCTGGATGACTGTTCCTTTTCGTTGCGTTCGTCAACATTTAAGCTGCAGCGCTTCGCACAAAGTAAGAATTTTCCACGACAATTGCAAGAGGCACTTAAGTGATAAAAGTCTGCAGAATAAGAAAACGCGTCACGGGGCCATCCGGTTTGTGAAATCGCGATCGAAAGGATCTCGCGGAATCGGTAAGGACTTTTGACCGGCGAACGTCTGCGAGGAATGATCGAGCGAGTCAAAGAGCGAGGACCATCGAGCGTAATCGATAATAGTTCGTTGATCCCAGAACAGCAATGTATTTTTCAGGGTTAGCGTTATCTCGCGAAAGTGTCACGCTCGCGAAAAGAAAAGAGACGATCGATCAACGCGATAACATCGACGGCACCGCGAACGTCAACGTCGAACGATAATTCCAGCTGGACACAACCACTGTCGAGTCTTTTTATTTTATTCCTTTTTTTTGTTTTTTGAAAATTAAGGCGCAAAGATCAGAGAGGCAGGGCACGACCGATAAGTCGGCCTTTTTTGCCCGATGATTGCAGATAATCGATACAAGAGAATCGCGCGGCGCGGTCATTAGACTCGATACTCTGACGCGTAATTACCAGATTGATATTGAACCGCGATTGTGGGAAATTCTGCGAAACTGATCGTTCGCGAAGTGCCTGGTATTTTCGATTAATGGAATCTGATCTTCATTGTCGAATAATGAGAGTTCGAACGGAACGAGTGAGGACCGATACGAATAAGAAATTAGTAACAGTTTTATTTTATTTCTGCCAGAAGAAAGACATGTTTCCCTTATTTTAGTCGAAAATCGAAGAGCCGCAGTTCTAGTTCTAACTATGCACGCTGCCAGCGAACGTTTCAGGAACACGCGTTCGATCGGATAGAATTCGCCTCGGACGCTTCTGGACTGCCGGATTATTTTCACGGGTCAGAATTTCTTGCGGCGGCTCATTAACGATACAGATTTCTGGCCAGCACGATGAGAAAGTTGAAAACGGGTCGATCTTTCGACAGCGAAGGCGCATTAACTTCGGTAGCACACGGTGGCGGGGATCGGTTTTATAATCGGGCAACGGAAGATGTCAATGCTCCTTCGCGGTGCAGAATTCCAGCTTCCTCTTCGCGTT